CCTGTCCCTTCGTCCGCCGAGCGCTGGTCTCGTCTTGTCTCGCTCTTGTCTCTGCTTGTCTCGTCTTGTCCCTGTCTTGCATCGCTTGTCTTCTTCTTGTCTTCTTGTCTTCTTGTTTCTGTTTCATCTGCGTCTTCGTCTGCTGACTAAGCTCGGCTTTTCTGGCGCCACCAAAAACTTCGCGACTGAAGATTTCGAGGTAGAAAAAAGCAACTCTTGATATCGACTCTTTATCACCAGAAGAAGCAGAAGAAAAAGAGAAGAAGAGAAGAAGAAGAAGATGCGCCGGCTGGACTGTCGTCTTTGACCTACCTTGTTCTCTGCTGCCCTGGTGGCGTCTCTTGCATCTGCCTCTCGTTCGGTCTCGTATCTCGTATCTCTCTCTCTTCTCTATTCTTACACCAAGTACAAGGACAGCGACGGCGACGGCGACGGCGACAGCAAGATGGGATTGACCAAGTCGCAGCGGATCATCATCCTCCTCGTCATCGACACCATCTTCTTCTTTGTCGAGCTCAGCGTCGGTGGGTTGTGAATCGCCCGTCTTCTTGCTGGCCTGACCCCCTGCTAACCACCCGGCTTTCTCCAGGCTATGCCGTCCACTCGCTCGCTCTCGTTGCAGATGCATTCCACATGGTACGTCGAGATACAACAGGCCCGGGAAGAAGGAAACTGGCTGACGCTGTCTCTAGCTGAATGATGTGCTCTCGCTCTGCGTGGGCTTATGGGCCGTCAAGGTCGCCAACGAAAAGTCCTCCAAGACATACACCTACGGCGTGAGTCCGCCACTACATAGACATACGTGTATACATTGTATATACGATCCATTGTGAAGCAACGGCTAACGGCGAGGCTTGACAGTGGCAACGCGCAGAGACCCTCGGCGCCCTCATCAACGGCGTCTTCCTCGTCGCGCTGTGTCTCTCCATCTTCCTCGAGGCCATCAACCGCTTCGTCGAGCCGCAGACCGTCGAGCACCCCAAGCTCATCTGCATCGTCGGCGGGCTCGGCCTGCTCTCCAACATCCTCGGCCTGCTGCTCTTCCACGACCACTCGCATGGCGGACACGGCCACGGCCACAGCCACGGACACGGCGGCGAAGATGCCGGCGAGCTGGGCTACTCCCGCGAGATCGCAGACCCGTCCTGCCTGACGCCCGCTGCACTCCCCGAGAACAATGGCAATGGCAATGGCAATGGTGTCCCCAGCGCATCCGCCACCCAGCACTCGCGCCGCCATGCCTCCATCAGCCGGGTCAGCCGCGAGAGCAGGCGGTACAGCGGGTTCAGAGACGCCGAAGACATCAGCGGCCACCCGGCCAGCCTGCGCCAGGACGTCATCCAGGCCAGTCTCTTCGAGGGCGAGCCCTCCGCAGACTCCGAGTCAGACAGGGAGGACACCCGCCACTCCGAGGAGTCCCGCCTGCTGCCAAACGCTGCCAAAGCGACCGCTCCTTATGCTGCCACCACGCCCGCGAGGCCCCGCAAGACCAACGACATCCACAAGGAGCATCACCACGCAAAGGCCAAGGACGGCGACGAGCCCGGGCACGAACAGGGCTCCCACGGTCACAGCCACGGCCACGGTCACGGTCACGGCCATGGTCACGATCTCAACATGCGCGGTGTCTTCCTGCACGTCCTGGGCGACGCCCTCGGCAACATCGGCGTCATCGTCTCTGCCCTCTTCATCTGGCTCACCAATTACTCCTGGCGCTACTATGCAGACCCGGCCATCTCCCTGCTCATCACCGTCATCATCCTCTTCTCTGCCATCCCGCTCTGCAAGGCCGCCTCTCGGATCCTACTCCAGGCCGTGCCTGTTGGCCTCTCCCTCGACCACATCATCGAGGACATCGAGCAGCTGCCCGGCATCATCAGCTGCCACCACTTCCACGTCTGGCAGCTCAGTGATACCAAGCTCGTTGCCTCCCTCCACATCCAGGTCAGCTTCGACATCAAGGGCGAGGGCTCCGACAGGTACATGACTCTCGCCAGGCACGTCAGGAAGTGTCTCCATTCCTACGGCATCCACTCCTCCACCGTCCAGCCAGAGTTCTACCCCGGCAGCGAAGAGGACTCCCTGCGTCCAGGCAGCTCCCAGCTCACCACCGTCGCCAGCGAGTCCTGTCTGCTAGAATGTGGTGAAAACTGTGCCCCGGACCGCCAGTGCTGCCCATCCATATAAACACGCATACCCTCTCTATCTTTCTTTTTCTTTCTTTCTGGATACGCAGTCTCAGCTTGCTTGCTCTACTTTCTTTACCCTTCCCTTCACATCCGTCTTTCCTATTTTCTTGCGCTGGTTTGGATCTCTTTGCATTAATACCTAGCAAGCCTGCTGGAATACCACTGCTCTTGGAGATATATATATACAATACGTATATATCCTACGTGGTCTCGCTCTTTCTCCTGGGCCCTTGTTTCTTTAAAGGCCCGTTTGTACATAGATGCTTCTTTTCCCTTAAGGTCACTGGCATAACAGTCATCCGAAATGATACAGGCCTAGATTCAAAACTCGTAAAGCAGATATCAGAAATTCTCAAGCTACTCTATGATATAGATGCATTCAATGTACCTTACCTTGTCAGTACACGGGCTTTGCCATCCAGAGCAACTTCTGTGCCTTGAGCTCATCATGATAACTCATATCAAAAGCATAGTCCAACTCTGCTTCCGCGCGTTCGTTGCCTAGGCAAGCCCACGCCGTCCTCGTGTATTCCCAGTATTCTGGCTTGAAGCCGGCATTTTTCCAGTCAATTAGACCAGAAAGTTTGCCGCCCTGTAGGAGTCTATTTGATAGATTTAGATCCGAGTCTGTGAAACATATTTCATGGTGTTTTTCATATGTACTGGTCTCTATAAGCAAGTTAGTAATTAGGCAGGCGACTTAAGATTGTAGCGAACCTCGACCATGCGACTGCCATCCACGTTGGATCTCTTGCTCGACGGACAAGTAATAATTGAATGCAGAGACGGGCCTGTGGATTGCGTGCAAAAACCCTTCAGGCAAGGGAGTATAGATACTTGACACCTGAGACTGGAGTTTCGGCTGGTTAGTTGGCTTTTACAATCACCTACCTAATCGGTAATCCCCGGACTGCATTATCAGGGGGTGATTATTCCATTGCTATCCTAGTCAATCGTAGGGGTGTCGGGGTTCAAGATGCAAAGCACCTGCATGAGAGCAATAATACTACACTTTGGGCCAGAGACCTCCAACTTTTCTTGCAATATTGAGTTGGCAAAATTCTCTCCTTGATATCTCTCCTTTTTATCTCTCCTTGGTATCTCTCCTTGGTATCTCTACACTCATCCGCCGCCTTGTTCGACACTCCCATGCTACACTAAAAAAATCATCGCCATCCGTCCTAGAATGTCGTATAGAATCCTCGAAACCCTCACGAAGCGCGCGCCGTCCTGGGGCTGGGTTATCTACCGCTGTTCCTACAAGGACGAGAAGCTATGGACCAACTTCCTATCCGAATGGGATAACGCTATCCACGAATCTATTTTCCCTATCGAGGAAGAAAAATACCTCCCATTAATGGATCTGAAAATAGTTGAAGATCCTTCTCTCGAGGGTGCTAGCAAAGAGTCCATCTGCGAACGTCACTACGCCTGGGTAAAATCCGAGGGATGCGCTGTTGACTGGACTAAAAGACATAGTGAGGAAAATAATTGGTTCCCTTCACCTCGTTATCAGTTTGCTGTCCAAGTTGATAGAGCTGCGTTATTGAGTGCGTCAGTCTATCGTGGAAAGCCTCCCGGGGATAGTGTGGGGAAATCCTATGCCAATCTGCTGTTTGCAACGAAGTATATGGGTAATGAAGGTGCTGGGGAGAGATCTGGGGATCGTCCCTGGGTGAATAATCGGTGGTGGATGAAGTCGGAGCTATATGGGTTGCCTGTATATGCGTACCACGAACTGACCACGACGAAGAGGTGGTATTGGGTGTATCAGGAACCGCCGCGGATAGCAGGGCCCCATGGTGACGATTACCCGTGATTACACCAAGGACGAAAGGTATACGCCAAGGTTCTTGTTACAGACTATCTGCGGCGTAGCCCAGATAAATACATTCATTGGATGACAAGGTTCTAGCACGGAAGAACCCTATAGATTATATAATATTAGAATAGTCTAAAATACTAAGATTAGAATAGTCTAATATAGACTATAACTAAATAGGAGGGAATAGACTTTTAAGATATATATAAATGAATAAATTTCTCTACACTATTTATCTACTTAGTTAAATATATAGGAATTGTCTAACTAACTTACTAGATTATTTATACCTTTCTTTTTTCTTCTAACCCTTCCTTAACCTTTATATTATAATCTTACCCAAGGCCAAGCCGCTAGGGAAAGATATACTATAGGTTAAACCCTAGTTTAAGCTAGAACTAGGGCTCGATACTAAGGTATAGACGTATCTAGAGGCAAGGAGTATAACCTAGCCTCTATAGTAGCTTTTACTCTAGATAAGATACTAAACGAGAGCCTATTATCTATTTAAAATATACTAAAATTCGCAAAGTTAGATATAACCTTATTAGATTTACTAGCTTGGAGCCTAATAGCTTACTAAGAGGTTAGGAGACTAACTACTAGGAGTAGACTTCCGTATGGGTGGGTTGGGTAGTTATTAGGGTCTAATGGGTTTTACCCGCCAAGAACCATTACCCAAGGGAGCTCTTTTAAACCCACCCGGGACCCAAAGGTGAAAAATCCGAACTACTCAATGGGTGAGATTCAAACCCAAAGTTTAAATATAATACCAAGCCTAATTAGTAATCCACTAGTATAGTAAGGTAAGCTTACTAACTATCTATAAAAAGCGCTAAGCCTAGTATTTTTTACCTAATTTATTTAATTTATTAGAACCTTTTTAAAAGAAGGACTTATTATAGAGATAATACTTAATATTAGACCTCTAGTACTAGGTGGTATTAGAGGTTAGTTCTCCCTTACTTATTAGGAGAGACTATAATAGTCCTCAATAATAGATAGGGGAATACTATAGGGGTCTTATTATAATAAAACTAACTATTAGTTCTTTTAACTCTAGGTCCCTCTAGGGTATCTATAGGATCTAGTATTTGCTTAGGGTAGTGTGCCTTATACCCTTAGTAGATATAGTAATTAGTTAGCTTATAATAGCTACTATATCTTATACCCTTAGTTTAACTTATAGTTAGTTCTACTAGAGGTTAGTTCCTAATAGTATCCCCCCCTTTAGGGGTTCGGCCTCTAAACCCTACGAAGAATTATACTAAAATAAAATAAGGGCTTAGGCTTCTACTATACTCTATATAATTTTTCTCTACTATATTTCCCTTTTTAATTCTCTAGTAGTAATCTAGTAATAGCTCTTTTAATCTTTATTATAGTTAAAAATTTTCTCTTTACCCTTTTCCTTTCTTCCTTTCCTTAACTACTATTAATACTTTATTTCTATCTATATTATTCTTCTCTCCTAGCTATTACTATATCTTCTTTTCCTATTAATAGTACCTCCCTACTTTATATATAATATCTAGGTAATATCTATACTATTATAAACCCCTCTAATAATTAAATTCTAGAGCTTAATTATCTATATTAAATAGATACTCTATATAAATACTATATATATCTAAATTACTTATATAATACTATAAGTTAGATACTCCCTACTATTTTAATATATATATCTTAGTTAACTCTCTATTACTACTTATTAGGTTAACCCTAAACTTACTCTACTAGCTAATACCCTAATTTAGACTTATTAGAAATATATTATAGGTATTAATAATAAAAATAGAAATAAACTAATTTAGGTATCCTATATAAAGTTATAGATTATTTAATAAATTTTTAAAAATAGTATAGTAGTCTAACCCGTAGAGCTACTATCTCTAAAATTATTACCTTTAAGGTCTCTATCTCTACTATAAAAGAGCCTACTACTATAACTACTAATTATATCCCTACTACCTCTAGATTAGCTATTATAGGTACTAAGTCTATTACTTCTATCCTTATTTAAATTATTTAAGTAGCTTTAGCCTTACTTATACTTTCTAATCTAAGGGTATAAGCTATAAATTATCTTCTTTCTAGCTATAAGTCTAGGGGTTTACACCCTACTACCTCTATAACTACTACTACTACTACTAATTCTATCTCTACTACTAGTTCTACTACTACTACTAATATCTCTATTATAGCTACCCCGAGTTTTATCTCTACTACTACTACTAGCTATATTTCTAGTTAAGTTTATAATTTATATAAGGACCTTAATAACTATATAGAGCGCTTAGGGGTTACCCTTATAACTAATTTTACTAGTATTATAGCTATTATTAATTAAGGGTTTATAACCCTTCTTTAGTAAACTATTTCTACTTAAATTATTTTAACCTCTACTACTTTAATCCCTACTTCTATTATAATCTCTAATTTATCTTATTAGAATTATCCCCCTATAAGGGTTAGCGCTTCTATTATCCCTTCTATTAGGATTTCTACTCTTATTAAATCTATTAACTACTACTAATATAGCTTTAATCCCCTTTTATATTAGTTTAGCTCCTTTATTAAGTATAGAGATAGCTCCCTTAGGGCTACTATCCCCCCTACTTCTAGTATCCCTTCTAGTAAGGGTAAATATTCTAGCTCTACTACTAGGGTTATTAAGACTTCTACCTTTAAGAAATAATACTAAAATAGATCCCCTACTACTTTACCTACTTCTAGTATTTAATCTACTTAAATAGTTTATTAAGGTACGTATTACCTCGTGCACCTTTTTCCTTAAGTCTATTCTAATACTAGCCTATATAGAGAGATACTAACCTCTCTACTTAATTTTAAAACTCTACTACTACTACTAGTAGTAACCTTAGTACTAAATCCCTAGAGGATATTTATACTAGGGGTACACTATACTCTAGTCTCTTCTTCTACTACTTTTAATAAGGAGGATCTACCTTCCCTTATTTATAAAGTTTATTACTCTAGATATTTTATTCAAACCCCTAAGAAGTAATAATAGTTAACTTCCCTTAGTATTCTAGTAGTAGTTAGCTCCTTTAATACCCTAGATAGTTTATTCTTCTCTTTTATTTATAGGTTTATATAGTTAATATAATCTAATAATTTTTCTTATTCTAGTATTAGTTTGCCTTTTTTCCTAAGGATTTCCTTATATTTCTTAAAGATCTTGGGCGCGTTCTTAAAGTCTATTTTACTAAGCTATATAGCTTCTTCTAAGAGGTAATCTAGCTACTTAACCTTAAATTAAGTCTTTCTATACTTTTATCCTATAGTCTAATATCTTTTTAATCTCCTATTTCTTATTATTATCTATAACTACTACTAGAGGGGGGTCGGGTTCCTCCCCTTCCCTCCCTCTAAATAGCTCTAGTAGAGAGATATAGAACATAGGGTATATCTTATAAGATAGAGGGGTAATACTAGGTAATATACTTACTTACTAATTGACTCTCTAATTATAAAAGGTTCTATTATCTTACTATTAAGCTTCTTATTTAGATATTATATTTTAATATTCCTTATTAAGAGTATAATTTAGTCCCCTATTTTAAAGTTTATAGGGTTATATTTTCTATTATAGTACTTAGCCTAATCCTTCCTAATCTTTCCTAAGTTCTCCTCTAAGGTCTCTCTTATTTTTATAATTAATAAGGCTCTCTCCTTTACTTAGATATCCTTTAGCCGCCTAGGCTCCTCTACCTCTATCTCTATAGGACTTCTTAGGTAATACCCTATTAAGGCTATAAATAGGGAAGTCCTAGTACTACTCTAGTTAGAAGTATTATATATAAATTCTACTAGAGGTAGCTAGTTAATCTAGTCTAACTATTTATAGTTAATATATCTCTATAGGTAGCCCTCTAAAATCTAGTTCTAAACCTCTATTTAGCTATCTATCTATAGTTAGAAGGCTATACTAAGCTTTCTATTTATTCTTAGGTAGTAGTATAGGATTAACTAGAAGTTACTAGTAAAGAGGGCACCTCTATCTATAATTATCTCTTTAGGGGTACTATATTTAGTAATTATCTCCCTAAAGATAATATCTATAAGGTCCTCTACTTTAATCTTTTTAGTATAGGGGAAGTATCTAGCTAGCTTAGTATATCTATCTACTACTACTGGAATAGTATTACTATATCCTCTAGCCCCTTCCTTTAGTTCTAAATCTAGGAGGTTTATAATAAAGTCTATTAATATTAAACTTTAGAGTTACTTTACCTATTATAAGAGTTATAGCTACCTATATAGTTTATATTTTAGAGCTTTTATTTTTTAATATATTTAATATATCTATATATACTTCTTTATATATTAGGTTATATCTAGCTACTAGTACTTCTATTATATTAAGGCTCTAGTTTTTTACTTCCTAAAATAGCTACTCTAGAGATTATTATAGTATATATATAGAATCTCTTATCTTACTACTATATCTAGTAGTATATATACCCTTTCCCCTTTAGTTAATAGATCTACTAATATCTGCCTCTATTCCCTTAGAGTTTCTATAGTTATATTAGGGTTCTACCTTCCTATTCTATCTACTCTTTATTATAGCTATACTAGCTTCTCTACTACAAAGGCGTCCCCCTATTATAATAAAACTATTAATTCTAGTAAGTTCTTCTTTAGTAAGGAATCTATAGTTTCCCCTATAGTTACTCTTATAGCTAGTAGGCGAGATATATAATATACTAAATAGCTATAGTTAGCTCTAAATAAAAGCTCCCTTAATTAGAAGACTTAATCCTCTTAATTATCTCTCTAAATAGAAGAATTTCTTATCCTCTATCCTTTGTAGCCTTCCTTAGCTACTTTTTACCTAATTAGCTTACTTATAGTCTCTTATATAACTAATAAGAGACCTCTCTTATACTCCCTTTTTCTATCTAGAATTAGTAATTCTTTAGAAATACCCCTATAATCCGAATAGTGGGATAGACTATTTATAGAAT